GAACCCAAATGTCAGTAACATATCGACCAAGATGGTCGTGAAAAAGCTTGAAAAATACCATCTTGGTCGAAACATAGCTTGAAAAAGATCATCTGGGTCGAAACGTTGCTGACATTTGCGTTCTATTAAATTTGCCATTTTGATATCTTTGAGTGCCTGGAACTTTTTCTCTTATGCATATTGTATCTGGGACTTGGTGCTGGTTCCTGGTTCGGTTTTGCAGGGTGTTGGTAAACAAAAGATTGATGATCTAAGTGTGAGAGCGCTGGGATGTTTTATTAACATAGTTTTCTGTCCAATTATTTTAGGAGGAACAAGCTGCATCAATTACTATATATCATATGTCTCCACTAAAAGAAACAATGTGAGAAAGTGGAGAAAGCTGCAGACAAAATCCCTTTAAATTTAAAATAACAGTTCTTACTATGCAGCATAAAGCCCCCTTCACTGTTGCTCGGGTAGATTACGCCATTTTGTCAATGCCTGGCACATGTTAACTTCAGATTCTTGGGTCCTGCAAACTGTCCTGGGTTATGCCATAGATTGTGTACAATACCCCATCCTATTTGTCTCTTTTCTACCAAATAGTCTGTTATACACAGGACCGGTCCCTAATTGTAGTGGAGATACAGTTTCTAGCCACCAAAGTCACAATCTTAGAGACACATCAAAAAAAGGCAGTTTTTCTAAGCAACCTATTCCTAGTTACCAAGAAAGGGGGAGGTGTACGACAAGTCATTAACCTACACCCCCTAAATGATTGTGTTGCTTACCACCATTTGAAGATGGAAGGTATCCACTCTCTACAAGACCTACTCCCAGTAGGGGATTGGATGGTCAAGCTCGACCTTCAGGAGGCTTACCTCACTGTGGCAATGGCCGAGGACTGCCAATGTTTCCTGCAATTCTGATGGTAGACGACTATGTGGCGTTTCTCTCATCAGCCCCTTGGTGCTTCACGAAGCTCATGAGACCTGTGGTGGCCCTCCTGCGAAGCAGAAGGGTTCGTCTGATTATATACTTGGACGAAATACTCAAGATGGCGCAGGACCCACTCTTACTCCACCAACATCTAGCTTGGATGAGGACTTTACTCTGCAACCTTGGCTTCCTTCTCAACTGGGTCAAGTTGGTCATGGAATTCTCTCAGTTCTTAAAATTCCTGGGTTTCACCATCAATTCAGTGGGTTCAAATAACCCAGTAAACCCTGCTAATGGCTGTTTTGGGTCCAATGAT